TACGGCTTCTCCCCCGTGTGGATCCGCCGATGGATGGTGAGGCTCGAACGCTGCGTAAAATGCTTCCCGCAATCCGGGCACTGGTGTGGGCTCTCCGCCGCGTGGACCCGCTGGTGTTTGAAGAAGGCCGGGCTTGGCCGGAAAGTGGTCCTGCTCTCGGGGCTTTGGAAGCTCCTCTGGCCCAGTTGGGCTCGGCCGGGAGCCTTCACCCCGTTTTCGGTAGTTCGATTCAGGGCCTTCTCGGCATGCTCCCCGTTGGAGTTTCCCAAGTCTGAGACAAAAAAAGAACAAGAAGCTTTACTCAGTGGTTCAGTAACAATTGGGATCTCTCCACACCCTCACTACACAATCATTTCCCGGCTGGACTACTACAGTGTGCTCTACCTGGGGCTGCCCTTGAAGAGTGTTTGCAAGTTGCAGCAGGTCCAGAAAGCAGTGCTACGGGCAGCCTTGGCTGATTCACATTAAGGCCAAGTCGCACCTGTCCTCTACAAACTACACAAGTGTAATGATATGTGGGAATGAATGTGTAGGGTAACTCACCATGGCCATCTTGCTGTGACCAACTCGCCACGGAATAACTTGCAAATGGACAATTCCACACAGTGTAACTCAACATGATAAACGTTATTCACCACTGTTTCTTTGGCATTCTTTCCATTGACAAAAATAACATTAGGAAGGCCACTTAGACTTATATACCGCTTCACAGTGCTTTACAGCCCCCTCTAAGCAAGTTTACAGAAGCCCCAAACAATCTGGGTCCTCATTTTACCTCGGAAGGATGGAAAGCTGAGTCAATCCTTGAGCTGGGGAGAATCGAACTGCCAACAGCCAGCAGTCAGCCGAAGTAGCCTGCAGTAAGTACTGCATTCTAATCATTGTCACCACCACGGCTCTTAGTATCGAAGAAACAGAGGCAGATAACACTTATCGCGTTGAGTTATCCCGTGTGGAATTGTCCGTGAGATGACTTGGCCATAACAAACTGTCCCATTCTGTGGGAATGACCTTGGGATATGTGAGGGGGAGGGAAGGAGAGAGTTGGGGGGGGGGAGGTGCTGCCTAGGGAATGATCAGATAAGAGGCGGCACAGCCCATAGCTGCAAAACAGGTGGAGAAAGAAACTCAGAAAGGAACCTCAGCCTAACTTATCAGGCTATAAACAGAAACAGTGGGAGATTTGCACTTTCAGGCTTACAAGGGTCTGTTAATATAGCCTTTAAATAAAGCAGAGGTAACTCATCTGGTTGTGCTTCCTGCCTGCTCTACCTGAGAAGGTTGACCACCAGCTTTTAAATACAATTCAAGGGGTTGGTTGCCATCTACAAAGCCCAACATCAAGCAAGCTTTCAGGGTCATCCATTGCAGCGCTCCCCATCTTTCCAGCTTTGCGGATTGATGCCGGCGGTGTGTGTGTGTGTGTGTGTGTGTGTGTGTGTGTGTGTGTGTGTGTGTGTGTGTGTGGAGAGGGGATGGTTACATGTGACTGTCCACTATTTGTGCAGCCCAGTTCTGAACAAGCCATAGCCTGGTACCAGTCTGTGGTCCAGGGGTTTGGGGGACAGAGGTGGGTTTCACAGAATTTTACCACCAGTGAGCACGCAAGCCTTCTATGGATAAGCTTTGCTTGCATGCGCGGCTTGCACACATGTGCACGGCTTCAAAAACATGGCTAAACAGGACTGCATAGAGCTGGGGGCGGGGCCCACCACCACCCACCACCACCACCCACAGGTCACCACTACCAGTTTGCCCAAACCATTCCGAACTGGCTGAATACCACCTCTGGTTGGGCATACGCATGTGCGAGAAACAGGAACGCCAGCTCAATCTGGCGAAAAAGCGCTGGGAGCCTTTGGAACCTGCTACAGAACCGCTTTAAAAGAGGTCCCTGGGATGAGTGAAATCCAAGGGACACGCGACAATCAAATTTCGAGGGGACCCGATACCTCTGGACGGCCCTGGTGTCCAAAATTCTCAGCGCGGCTCGGCGGGCTCAGAGATGAAGATGGCGGCCCCGCAGTGATGACGCCGGCACCTCTAATCTACTGCATATCTAGTCATTTCTGCTTGCTCTGCCAAAACTGGCAAGATTCACAGGGCCACCTTCCCCTGCTAGAGCGTGAAATCCAGCTGACCTGGAGATAAGCAGGGATCTGATCTAGCCTTGCTCGAAGGCCCGGATAAAGAGCGCTAAGCTCTCTCCCGCCTTGCCAGATGTCAATGGGCAGCAGAGCCTCTACCAGGTGAGCAATGGGCGCAGGCCCTTTAGCTTCAGCCCGCCTGGCAGCACCAGGAATATTTTCTATCAATCCAGGCAGCCGAAGAGAGCCGAGAAAGTGGAAGTAGATATCCAATTAAGTCCAGTAATATTAATTAATCAAGGAGCTAACGATGACACTGTCCTCTTTCGAAGTGGACTGAGTCGAAAAGCTGGGTAAGGCTAGCAACGGGGGGCGTGGCTTAACTGTGTTTAATCAGACTCAGTCCAATCCGAAGGCGGACAATGTCAACCCATGCATGGATGCTATCCCCACCTCTATTGAGAAATGTTGAGGCTACAATTCCCAGAATTATCAGTACCCCTGAATTTTGGGTGGGAATTCTAGGTCTTGGCGTTTCCCCACAACCCTGGAGAACAGCTGATTGAGACAGGCGGCCGCCCAAAGAACCAGGGGCAGCAGGTTCTTACCCAGGATTCTGGCATCTTGCTTCATCTCTCGGTGAATCCGCTTCAGCCCAGCACCCACAGAAGACGGTTTCACCTCAGCCCAATTTACCACCTGAGATCCCCGAGTCTGAAAGAAGAGCATAAAGCAAGGCCTTAAAAAGCCATCCCTGAAAAACGAAAACAGTCCGCCAGACGAGAAGTAATTCGGAAAATTTTAGAATGTGCTGAAATGGATAGGTTAACTTTTAAAATTAAGGATGAAGAAGATTCAGAGTATTATCTGACATGGAAGAGTTTCTATGAGTGGCTAGAGACAATGGGTAGGAATTAAGAGGAAAAAAGACTATGAATGCCTGTATTAAAATAGAGATGGTTTTCAACTATAAGTATGATAATCTATAAATAATAGAGAAATTTCTCCTCAGTTCTAAGTCGATTCTCTCCTTGATTAGTTTCCACCCATTTCTTCTTGTTCTACCCTCAGGTGCCTTGGAGAATAGACTCCCTCTTCTTTGTGGCAACCCCTGAGATATTGGAAAACTGCTATCATGTCTCCCCTAGTCCTTCTTTTCATAAGACTAGACATACCCAGTTCCTGCAACTTCATATGTTTTAGTCTCCAGTCCCCTAATCATCTTTGTTGCTCTTCTCTGCATTCTTTCTCACTCTATTCACTCTGTCCAGTTCCTGTTCATATTAACAGAGTTGGAAGGGACCTGGTAGGTCATCTAGTCCAACCCCCCTCCTGCAATCATCAAGGATAATACCTGTATTTCATCCTTTTCCCTCCATCTCCATTCAGTGGGTCTTGTCACCTAGTTTTTCACCTGTAATTCCACAATCAGGCTGCATCACAGGAGAAACTGGCCTCTCCCACCTTACGACTGTATTACGACAGCTTTTGCTGGAAAGCGGTGTTGACTTCTGGTTCCCAGCGAAAATGCGAATTGTGGACAATGGGTTGTTTAATTACTGCGGCGTTCGTTTAATGAGCATTGCAATTTGCCTAACAACGGCAAGAAAAATTGTCATAAAATTGTATCAGTCAATTGAGGACTCTTTTAAACACCAACATGACTGACTCACAGCCGTAATTCCAGGGTCAATTATGGTCATAAGGGCACCTAAGTTATTCACATCACTTTCACCTCCTTCCCCAAAATCCTTGCGATGAATATACAGGTTGTCCTCGGCTTCTAACAGTTCTGTTTAGTGACCATTCGAAGGCCACAATGGCATCAAAGAAAGTGACTTGGGATCATTTTTTACACTTACGACCGTTACAGCGTCCCCACAGTCACATGATCAAAATTCTGCCATTTGGCAACTGACCCGTATTTACGACGGTTGTAAAATGGTCATCGTGATCCCCTTTTGCAACCCTTCTGACAAGCAAAGTCAACGGGGAAGCCAGATTCGCTTAAAGACCCTGTTGCTGACTTAACACATGGAATGATTCTCCTAACAACTGTCGTAAGACAGGACAAAACAAATGTCCCACTTAGCCACAGAAATTTTGGGTTCAATTGTGGTCATAAGCTGAGGACTATCTGTAGTCAAGATCACTTTTAGGAAAAGGAACAGGAAAATAACATTGTCAATACCATATAAGGAAAACTTATATAAAATGTTTTATAGGTGGCATCTTCCACCCGCGAGAATTGCCAAAATGTTTAGAAACTCGGCGCCAAATTGTTGGAAATGAAACTATGAACCAGGCATGTACTATCACATGCGGTGGTCATGCCAAAAAACAAAAGAATATTGGCAGAAAATCCAAAAGTGGCTGATAGAGATAACTGAAGAGGAAATAGAATTCATACCGGAACTATTTCTTTTGGGAATTATAAATAATAAATATAACAAGGGGG